CCACTGTTTCATTTCTTGAATGTAAAAATTATAATCCAATGTGAAAATGTTTTTTTTTTTTCTTGTTATTTTTCTTGTAGCCATGATAGTGATAGGGTATATCAGATACAACAGCTTTGTTTATGTTAACACAAGAATAATAAATTTGACTGTATATTAAAGTCCTCTCCTTTTGGCCATAAAAGAAAAGAAGAAGAAATCCTCTCCTTCAGTTCACGACTGAAATTGAAGTTCCATGAAAGTAAACTATTTTTCTTTGTAAAATGCCTGCAGGAAATTTGAAGATATATTTGATGTTGATCATTTCATTGACTACTTGAAGGATGATGTACACATTGTCCGTGATATACCGGAGTGGTTTACTGACAAATCAGAATTGTTCACAAGCATAAGGTTTGGTCTTTCGTAATTTTCCAAGTTGTTTTTAGGCAAATTTGTGGAGGGCCAAGCCAAAGCTATCCTCTTTTTTTCTTTTTTGATTTTCCATGCTACATAGTTGCCAGGAAAATCCTGGAAAAGGAGTGACATCCTGAGTTTTTGTTTCTGTTTTAATCACGACTTCTTAGTGACCTGGAGGACTTGGGCTTGCTAAAGCTAGTATCTGGGATTTTGCTCTCTGACACTTTGGATGACTGACAATTGTTTTAGATAACCAAGCAGAAATGTGATCAATCAATTATCTTTAGAGTTACTTCATGAAAGGGGATTCATGGTTGCTTCTTCCATATGGAAACAATAGGAATTATTTGTCAAAAACGTCACATCTTGGAATAAAATATTATGTCATCTTTCTAAGTAATGTGTTAACAGATACAATTGTTAAATCTTTAACTAGATCCCATCCACAGCTTGCATGTATACAGAGGTTGGGCAACCATCTCTATCTTGTTATCTTTCTCTGAGTCTTGCTCTTTATTAGGTTTTGTTGAAACAATCATCTTTTTTAAATGCTAAAAATTTTCACATCAAGCTTTGAGAAATTCAAATATTAAGCTTTGGTAGTTTGATAGTAGTATCTAGCATGAGCTATTTCTATACTTCAAATATTACCAATGAATTTGAGAATTTTAAAAGCATCTTTATTTCATGTTTTGGCTCCATTTTCATTACTGGCATTCTTTTGATGAAGAAATTTTTGCAATGTAAAATAGACGGACTGTGAAAAACATACCAAAGTATGCACCAGCACAGTTTTATATTGACAATGTGCTTCCTCGTATCAAAGAAAAGAAGATCATGGCCCTAAAACCTTTTGTTGATCGCCTTGGGTAAGTTGTGGATTTTCGTTATCTTTTCACACTTCATTCATATTCTTTTCATAAGATAAAATAAAATAAAATAAAATAAAGAACCTTAATGTTAACACCCACCCCTGCCCTGCAATCTTGTTGGGTGTTTGATTAGGTATGACAATGTTCCGCCAGAAATCAACAAGCTAAGATGCAGGGTAAACTATCATGCTTTGAAATTTCTTCCAGAGATAGAGCGAATGGCTGATCTGCTCATTTCAAGGATGAGAAACCGCACTGGAAATCCAAATCCTTACATGTATGGGACATTTTTAAGGGAAATTTTGCTAACCATGTTTTGAATTCATTGATTTTCAATCCAGTGATTTGTCTCATGCAGGGCTCTACATCTTAGGTTTGAGAAGGGGATGGTGGGTTTGTCATTCTGTGATTTTGTTGGGACAAGGGAGGAGAAAGCTAAAATGGCTGAATACAGAAAAAAGGAATGGCCTAGACGGTATAAGGTGACCTAAAATGAAATGGTTTTCCACTTTGCTGGTTTTACTGTTTGGTAATTCCCTGAAAGCATGCATCAATTATGGTTCTTCTTTTGTGGTGATTTTGTGTGCAGAATGGTTCCCATCTCTGGCAGCTGGCCCTGCAGAAGCGGAAGGAAGGACGTTGCCCTCTTGAACCTGAGGAAGTGGCAGTCATTCTTCGGGCAATGGGTTATGCTAAGGAAACCCAGATATACGTTGCTTCTGGCCAGGTTTATGGTGGACAGAACCGAATGGCACCTCTAAGGAACATGTTCTCTAATCTAGTAAGGACTTGTAGATTACTTTTATATGGTGGCATTGAGATACAAGCTTATATGAAGTATATTTACCACTGAGTGTTATAGAATGATTATGCTCAAAAAGTCAAAATCATTTTCCCTTCTCTTTCATGAAAGTTGAGGTTGAATCATTAGCCCTCCTTTAAAATTAATTATCATTTTTGTGTCATCAGCTTCGTATCTGAGAATATCCATTCCTCCACAATTGTCCTGTTCTCCCTACTATGTATGAAGTCCTGCTAACCATGGAACTTAGTAGTTTGCTACATAAGCTTTTGCTTTTACACTGAGGTCATTACCAACCACTGCCTGGGTAACCAATCACACATAGGTGGAAAAGGATATTTACTAGTAATTGTAGTTGGTATGTGTGTGTGTGTGTGTATTTCAGTAGTCATAGACCATGTATGTATGGTATGCATTATGCACATTTAGTTTTTACTGATTTTAAAAATATATTGGATTTTTTTGGCCTAACATGCTGGTTTTCTGAAGTGCACAATTTAGACAGAGGCAAGTAAGAATACATGTCAGGCGTTTTTTTTCTCTTTTCCAATTTGGGAAGCTGTTATGCTCATCACAAGGGTTTGCAACAGGTTACCAAGGAGGAGTTGGCAAGTAAGGAGGAATTGGCTGCTTTGAGGAAGCATGTAACAAGCTTGGCAGCACTTGATTTCTTAGTCTGTTTGAAGTCAGATGTCTTTGTGATGACACACGGAGGCAACTTTGCAAAGTTGATAATTGGGGCACGAAGATACATGGGTCACCGTCAAAAATCTATAAAACCAGACAAGGGGCTTATGTCTAAATCTTTCGGAGACCCCTATATGAGCTGGGCAACTTTTGTAGAGGATGTGGTCGTCACCCACCAGACAAGAACTGGATTGCCAGAAGAGACCTTCCCTAACTACGACCTCTGGGAGAATCCTCTGACTCCCTGCATGTGTAAAGCCTAACAGCACGTATTTCTTCTATAACTTTTACACCGATGATTGGAGCTACTCTAGGAGGAAACTGGATATAATCATCTGAGAAACACAAATTCTTTTACCCCCAAAGTTACAAGGAAAACATCTTAACCGAGCAGCGTATAAAGCTCTATGCGGGAAAAAAGGTTGGACGGTGAAGTGGGATGATCTCCCGGAGCAGGGGTTGGATGACATTTTGAGAGGTCTGTTATGCGGGTTGTTCACACTCTGGTCAGTTTTGTCTCCAAAAATAATTGATTGATTTTAGCAATATATCTCTGTTACGAAGACAATTTGTAGCTTCGCATCATTGTAAAACACTAGTTAAATGTGCAAGGTGTTATTTTTCGGTGCGTGGGAAAAGACAGGGTGCTTAGTCATGATACTTTGAGTTGGCTATCCCATACTTCGAAATTAATGGAAACGAACTAGGTTAAACACCGGGTTATATGCGTATTGTTTTATTTTGTGCAAATTTTAATTGATTTTATTCAGTCAATATTAATTGTTCTCCCATCTTCTTCTTCTTAATGAAAATAAGAGAATTCTGTTTTGTAGTCCAAATGAGGACTAGATTGGACTCCAGTACAGAGACCATTAAATGGGGAACAGCCTCTGATATTAGGGTCTTGTACAGCATATTTGGGTTAGTTTATAAAAGTCTTTTTTTTTTTTATTACTATTTATGATTGATAAATTTAAATTTTTGTTAGAATAAAAATTTAAAAATTACTTTAAAAGATAAGAAAAAGTGAGTAAAAAATAAGTAAAAAAAAATTTATGAATAGTAAAAGTTTAAAACTTTTGAGTTTTTATTATTTATGATATTTTTAAGATTAAAATAATTTAAAAATATAAATTTTTAAGAGAATAATTTTAATTTACAAAACATAAATAGTGTCAAAAAAACATAAATTTTTAGAAACTAATCCACCCATGCCCTTAATTGTATAATCGGGGTAGTTTAAACTGCACTACAGTTTTCTGTTAAAATAATTATTATTTTCCAGTTATGAGAAGTGTCACGAGGGTATTTTGGTTTTCCGCAGGTCATGCAGCAAATTAAGCCACCCCTGCTGGATTTCCATGTGGGTAACAAATATAGCTGTGGAAACAACTACATGCCGATGCCAACGAGCATGGTGTTAAACTTCTTCCACTAACAAGTCCTAAATTTTACTTATATAACATATAGGTGGGTGGGGTGGGTTAAATAATTGAAAAGGGTTGTTTCTAATTGTACAACTTAAAAAAAAAACACACACACACACAAACAAAAACTACATGCCGACTGCACGTATCAATTTATTTTGGAAATGAAATGAATTGTGTTTCCTATACTATTTCCAGACATTTATACGTTAATCACAATAACTACCAAACAGATAGTTTTCATTGTTTAAAATTCAAAAGACTTTTGATAAAAAAAAAAAAAAATTCAAGAGACTGATTAATGAAAAAAGTAAGTTTAACAAATCCTTTTGATTGAGTGTCATGCGTTTATTAGATCATTAGCACATACAATTCATCTTGGTAAGGTGCATATTCTTTTATTTTTTTAGTTAGTGATTAGGGTGTCTTTGGGCTATTTTACGTATACCTTAAAACTAATTCATCCTTAATTAATTAAAAATAGACTATTTATACCAGGATTGAGATATTTGGAAGGAATTACCTTCTTATTAACCTTTTTAGAGAATTAAACCTTGATCAACAAGGTGGGGAACAAACTCCCTTCCCAATTAAGCACAACTTCTTGGGTTATGGTGCATATTGTTATTCTTGTTGTCTTAGATGATGATAATTCAAAGGAAGGTGAATTGGGATTTCAAAAAATTTATGTTGTTGTAAAATAAAGAAAGAATCAATTGAAAGAAGAAAAAAAATTAGAGAGACAAAGTAAGAATGCAAAGATATATTATATTTTTATTTCTTTCTTCTCCATTTGTTCTCCATACATTTTCATACATTTGTATGAGTACAAGCCCTATATGCAAGTGTCAATATGGGATAAGAGTTACAAGAAATAAACATCCATTGAGGGAGGTTACAATGATTAATCTGCTGCTAATAGAGAGGTTACAAAGAATCCAATTATCACTATCTAAGTGCATAGCATTATTGAGTGTTAATCATCATTGTAATTGTATGGAAGTGGTGGAAATTACACCATTACTTGGTGTGTAAATGCCATGGAAAGTGGAGAGGTGAGAAGATGAAAATGGTGAAACATTGACAATGATTTGATTCATAACATAAGTAAAATTTTAAATTAAATTGATGAATTATCACAAGCAATTGAACCTTAACAAAATAAATTGAGGAAATTCAAGGGAAACAAAATCTTAAAACAAGTATTTATGGTAGTTCAGTTATAACTTATGCGTAATTTACTCTTTAAGCCACCATTTGAGAGTTTGCCTTGATTTAAGTCCTCTCCTCCAACTTACAAATGTAGAGGAAACCATTCATAATAACTTTGTAAACACCTTCAACAATGTACAATTTCTCATAAATCCAATCTTATCCCACAATGATGGTCTTTTTAGATATAACAAAAAAAATCTAAATCCTTCTCTCATAAGTGTAAATGAAAAAGTAACGATCACAAAATGATCGGATATGAACAATTCAGTGAATAATTGATGGAAAGAAGCTTTGATCTTTATTCTCCAATCTCCAAGAGCCTCTTTTAAACTTCAAAATAGCACAACTTTAGCCTTGTCGTTGTTACTCCTCATTTAGAAAGATTTGAGTCTAATTCAGAATGTAGATCTTGCTTTTTGAACTAAGATTTCAGAACCCCTTTTAGTGTCAGACCCACTCTGAAAATTTTGGCCTGTTGTGTGTTGAAATTCTATTAAGGTATCGGAAATTCTACTATTAAGATTCCACAACCCCTTTAGGTGTTCGGAACTTTTCTAATTTCTCCATAACTACAAAAGTGAACAAATCAGAACACTAATACCAAAAAGTTTTAGAACCTTAAAATATGTGTTATGATGCGAATTTTGTAACAAACGAAGTCAAAATACTCGAAAGTTTGGGCACTGTCTCCATTTCATTAAAAATGCAAATTTAAGGAGTTGCTAAGGAGGGAACTTGGCTTCTTTGGGAAATTTTTATTTTTAACGTTAGACAAATTTAAAACACGTAAATGCGCAATTTTGAACTTTTAGAAATTGAGTCATAAAAAGTATTATGAATGGCAAATTTAAAGATATAAAATCCTTTAATTGTGTGATCTTCCAAAAATGTTCAAAACATCAAAGATTTTGAATAAGAATATTCAAAAGTTATGACACTTTTTTTTATGGTTAGGATATTTTTGGATCAATTTTCATATACCATAAAACTTGTATCTTCTTGGGTGGCCTTAAAGATGCATCCCTCCTATTGGCATAATACATTTAAAAAATTTAGTTTTCTTAAGTGCTGCTTCTAAAACTTAAATTATGAATTTAATTTATAAAATAACACTTATTTGTCAATTAAAATTACCTTAAATGAGGTGTTAGAAAAAACTCTAATATATTTGTGTTTGAAAAGATTTTACATGAGAAACTTTAATACACTTACCAAATCAATTTAAGAATGTGAATAATTGAATTAAAAAGTCATTTTGATTTTGCAATGTGTTTGAATGAGATCATTTGAAAATGTTTGTTTCATATTCAAATTTATGTTAATGCAAAGTGATTCACAAAAGGAAATAATGTATAAAGTATTTTACATTTATATTTGAAAAGTGTGTAAAAACAAATTTACATTTGTCATTAAGCTTGTGGCACATTAAAATTAAGTCAACAATTTTCGAACCTTTAAAAAATATATGAATAAATCCTAAAAAAAAATATCAACTTAAAAAAAAATAATGAAGGAAATTGGACAAATTAATAAAGGTTAGACCCATTCGAAAAAAATCCTAAAAAGTTGGCGACGACTACTGACATTTATACAAGAATTGAATGGTAATTATAAAAACCAGACTAATCACATGTTGGTTCAAGAGAAGGAATTCAATTTTCATTAAGTAAAATTTTAAATTCAAGTTTTATGAATAGAGAAAAAAATATTGAGAGAATTTTTCTCAAATAGAATCTAACACAATTTGATTTTGAATTAATTAAAATTCAATATAATTATCAAATACCAAAAATTAGTATAAAAAAATTATAAAAGCGGGGCCACGCGGGAATTAGCAGTCACCTCTGGCTCTAGCATGAGATTATTATTATTATTTTAAGCAAAAGGAAACTAAAATATATTAAGTATATAGGAATTGGGCAGAGGAATTTATGGATTCAAACACACAATTTATAAAAGATGATTTGTACTAATTCGGAATTAAAGTTTTTAAATCAAAGCGTAGGGATTTAGCATAAGATTATTACTACTGTTAAATTTGTTAAGATTATTAATTTAAATGTAATTTTATCAATATTTTTGTTTAAATAATTAGTTATAATATTTAAAAGATAGCTATCGACATATTTTTAATTTATTTTATTTTATAATATATTTATTAAAAAATTATTATTTTTAAATTTAAATTAAAAATCAAAAATTTAAAATTACAAATTTTAATAACTAATATATTATAGAGTTGTGTTAAATTATAAGATATATCAATTATATTTCTATTTAAAAATATATATTTATAAACTAATTTTAATATATCAAACAATAAATATTAATTATTTTACTAATTATTAATTATTTTTAATAATTATATTAAAATAAAAATTTAACAATTTTGTATGGGTTTAACAAATTCAATGGTCGCTATAGCGCTGCTCTGGCTCCTTCTCAAGAAATGATACAATCTTTAGATGTTGACACATCTTAATAATTGTATAATGATGGTAAACTTACAATTTTAATGATATATATTTTTTTAAAATTTTGAGTTACTTAATAAAAGGTGTTGATACAAAGATAAAATTTTTTATATTATTTGAATATATAATTTGTATATATTATTAAATAAGTAGATGAATTTAATAGTATAAAACTCAAATAAATAAATAAAAATTATTATTTAAATAATATGTAAAATTATACCAAAAAAATATTACAAAAATTTATTCCTAAATCATTTTTCCTTAATAAATTACAAACCTTGCTAATTTGTTTAATTCATTTTACCTATATATCTCCTATATTTTAAATTAAAAATTTTTTATTATCATTTAAAAAAAATACCATTAATCTACCCAAAATTTTGACAACAATCTAATGATATTATTGCCAATTATACTAGCTTCCATCGCGTGGATGATGATAATAAGCGTTAGAAAAGTGGATATTAATTTGTATTATAGAAAATTAGAAGAAATAAGATCTTAAAATTATATTATTTTAAGAGATTAATGTGTATTAATTTGATCTTCAAAAATAATTGGAGTCTCAACTTACATTTAAAAACTGAAATCTCATTTTATTAAATGATGATATCTAAATTTAGAAATTCATTATATATTCTAATATATTAACATTTAATAAGATAATTTTTAAAATTTTAAAATAAATTTTA